CTCAATCTTTTTTTTCCTTATTTTTTCTTTACCTCAATCTTAGAAAACTCATCTATGACAAACCAACAGCTAACATTATATTAAATGGTCAAAAATTGAAAGCTTTCTCTCTAAAATCAGGAATAAGACAAAGATGTCTACTATCACCACTCTTATTCAATATAGTTCAGGAAGCATTAGCCAGAGCAAGTAAAAGAAGGAAATAAAAGAAGTAAGGATGGGAAAGGAAAAAGTTTAATTATCATTACTTGTACATGACATGATACTCTACATGAAAGATCCCAAAACCTCCACCAAAAGACTTCTAGATTTAATAACCAAATTCAATACCATAGATGGATACAAAGTCAACACTCCAAAGTCAGTACCATTCCTGTACACAAATAAACTCACTGAGAGCCCAATCAGGGAAAAAACCTTGCACAATAGCATCCTGTCAGGGATCCCTGTGTGAGCCCCCAATCTCTAGCCAGGTTTTATGGCACAGGGAAGGAAGAAAGAGCAAGGGACTAAATGGCAGTACACAAGGGATCCAGGATGACCAGTTGTTCATGAGGAACAAAAGGCCACAAGGCAGCCAGATCCTTGGCATTTACTGACTGAGGAATTATCACAGGACTCAGAGGTGATCTTCAACTACTGAGGAACTTGCCCTAGAGCCTCTCAGGCTCCTTAGTAGTCCTAGTCTGACTGGTTTTAGTCTTAATCTTAGCAGAGGTAGGAGAACAGCCCACTCCTAGTGAGATCATGGGAAATCTCAAAAGGCTGATAACAAAAATCCCAAGCCTCTGTTCATCCCTTAGGAAAACATATAAAGCTATCAATTGTGAATTGGTGGTCTCCAATCTCCAAAACAAAGTGCTGGTAGTTTTACATCCAAAAAAATTTAAAATATCCAGGATTCGATCTAAAGAAGCAAAAGAACTTTACACTGAAAACTATCGTACTCTCTGAAAGGAGATTGATAAGGATATCAGGAAATGAAGATATCCCTTGTTTATGGGTAGAAGACCCAATAGAGTGAAAATGGTCACACTCCCAAAATTACTATACAGATTTAATGATATCCAGTCAAATAGTATATCTCACAGAATTACAGAAAACATTCAACCTCACTGGGAACCAGAAAAGTGCTATAATACCAAACACATAATTCTCAGCAACAAAGGCAAGGCAGGAGGCATCAGAATCTCTGATATGAAATTATACCCGCAAAGCTACTGTGATAAAAGCACAATACTGGGGGGGGGAAACAGACTCAGTGTTCAACAGAACAAGTTAGAAGATGCAGACAATTCCTAATCAGCCACATCCTTATCTTTGACAAAGGGACTAAACATCTTCACTGGAAGGTATCCTCTTTAATAAATGGTGCTGGGAAAATTGGTTTTATACATGCCAAAGATTAAAACTAGACCTGTATCTTTCACCATGGACTAAACTAAAATCAAGGACTGGGGATTTAGTTCAGCAGCATAAGCCCCTGCCTTGCAAGCAGGCGGCCATGAGCTCAATCCCCAGTACCAATGAAATAAATAAACTAAAATCAAAAAAGGTCAAAGATTTATATATTAAAACAGAAAAATCTGCTTAAAGATAAAATTGGTAAAATTCTTGAAGACACTGGGGTAGACAAAGATTTTATGAACAAAACCCTAATCACATGGGAATATCACAAAGAATCTACATCTGAGATCTCATCATATGAAAAAAAAAAACCTGTTGCATAGCAAAAGAAAGCACCAACAGAGTAAAGAAACAACCCACAGTTTGGGAAAAAAAAATCTTGCTGGTTGTTCCTCAAAGGACTCACATCTAAAATATATAAAGAACTCAAAACAAATCAGAGCCACTCCAAATTTTAAAGACTCAATTTAAAAATAGGCACCTGAAATGAAGAGCGACTTCTCAGATGAAGGACAAACAGTAATTAAATGCAGAAAAAAAATGTTCAGCATCATTAGTCATTTGAGAGACACAAATGAAAACAATGCCAAGAGTCCATCTCATCCCAGAAAGAACGACTATCACCAAGACATTAAAGAATAACAAACGCTGTGGGGCTGTGGCAAAAAGACACCCTTTCCCACTGTTGGTGGGAGTGCAGACTGGGGGAGGCACTGTGGAAATCAGTATGGACAGTCCACGGAAAACAAAATGCAGGTTTATTTGACCCAGCTATTCTCCTTCTTGGTATCTTCCTGAAAGAATTTACAGGCACAATCATGGTAACAATGGCACAGTTTGGAACAGCTCAATCTTGAAAACAACCCAAATGCCCATTAACCAATGAACGATAAAGAAGATGTGGGGTTTTTTAAAAATAAAATGCATACTGTTCTTCCATTAAGAAAGGTAAGTTGAGGCACTTCTAGCTAAATGGATGCACCTTGAGATCACATTCTTAAGTGAAATAAACTGGACACACATGTTCAAATATTACATGGTTCTCTTAGTGTGGAAACCAAAAGTGTAAATAAAATCCAAAATGTGTAACAGATACTGGAAAAGTGGAAGAAGATGTTCAAATGAAAAGGCGAACAAAGGGTGGGGGGGAGAGAAGTGACAAGAAAACAATGGAAATAAAGTTTTGGTAAACAAGGGGACAGAGGCTTAAAGGGAGTTGGGTGGGACGGGGAAAAAAGAAGCAAAATATATCATACCCAGGTACAAATTCCCTATGATGAATGTTATATGTATCTAAAATGTAACAATAAAATAAAAATTAAAAGATAAAATCAGAATTATGTAAGATCGTGTAGGTATGTCAATACTGAATAAAAGAATAATTGTAAGTTGATAAATTAAGAGATAGAATTATGTATAATTTTCTAAGGTTTTAGTTTTACACAATCATTATCATCTATAAAATGTTTAGAAATACATGCAAAATGCTGTGGTTACATGGCTGACTAAAAGCTACTCAAGAAAAACACCTGCTCCTTTCATTTCCTATTTCAACAATCACACTTTAGGAAAAGTTATTTATGAAGCTTTTCCTAATCTTTCTAAGCTCATGTCATCATCCCATATCCCTCCAACCAATCAAGAACTGGAAGCAGACATTGTCTGTTTACATGTATTCAATCAATGCTCAATTTAACTATCTGACCTTCCACAGCTCAGAGTCCTCATCTTGCTGAGCACAGTCCTCAAGTTTTAAAAACCTACCCTCATATAAATCTAATCTCCTCTCATCATACATGATCTCACTATACCCTTCCAGTAATCAATCCATTAATCTGTCATCTTAATTCCAGTACTGGTAGTGTGTACCAAATTAACCACCTTCGAAACTTTTTTTTTTTTTCACCTTGGTTTTTGGTCCTATAGAATGAAGCTCACTTGTTCATACAAAATTAACAATCACCACCTCTACGGAGAAATAATGTCTTCGTTTTGATTGTAACATTGAGAAATCTAATTAATATCATTTTTACCTCTAGTTGTATAATTGTTTTCTCTTTAGTAAATTTCAAAAATGTGAACTTTATATCTGATAATTAGTACATATATGTGTACTTTTTCTAATTTTCACTGTGCAAAATTAATCAGAAATACAGCAAAAAAGGATATGATTTTTGCCTCTGAACAAAACTACATATTTTATCTTTATATTTTATCAAACTAAGAAAATCTAAATCTAAATCTAATTTTTATCTTTATATTTTATCAAACTAAGAAAATCTAAATCTAATGTCAATATTAGAAATAATTACAAATATTTCTTTGCTGATAGGAACTAAGTTCTTCACTTCTGACAGTCACAAATGCCATTCAAAAATTATTTCCCTAATCACCAGTAAGTAAAAGCATTATCTAATATTCTATAAACTTTTTCACCTATTAATTCCAAATATTATTGTGGAACTGACTTATTCTTTTTGAAGAATGAACCTCATTGGTTTCACAGATTTGTTTAATTAACAAACAAAAATCAATACCTTTCCACATTATAATAGGTATAAACAAATCGGTCTCAACGTGTTTTTAAAATTGATTTCTAGGTATGTCACCACAATCAAGTCATATTCTAACCCAGAAGGCAGGCATGCAATCTATGAAAAGTTAGGAAAACTGCATTCCTAAAATGAAGTAATCTAAACTCCTAGCCATAAATGTACAAGAGACATAAATTCAGTAACAGGTCAACTATCTTTTTAATATATTACATTAGTAAATATGCAATTAGCATAAGATTTTTAGAAAGATGTATAAAGAGGGTGTAGGGGCAATTACTTGTAAGCCCAGCTACCTAGGAGGTTGAAGCAGAAGGAACTGGAGGAAAGTCTGCTAACTTAACAAGAACCCTCTCAAAATCAAAATTAAAAGGGCTGAGAATGTAGTTAAATGGCAGAGAGCATTTACCCAGCTAGTATAAGGCTCTAGGTTTAATCTCAAGCACTAGAAAGTATGCATTTACAGGAAAAAAATTTTTTTCAAAACAAAAAAAACATTTTGAAGACTAATGTCAAATTTAGAACTCAAAAAATACACATTTAACCAAACCAAAACACTAATATTAAATACGTATAAAGTATGCAGAATCTATAAACTAGGAAGAAGAATGGTTAAAACGCATCACTGTTTGTGAATGGTCAACAAGTTTCCAAACCAATGATAAATTTAACAAATAAGAAAAATCACTGTCAGCAGAAATTCTGCTGAGGAACTTCAAAATAAGGCATTAAATAGAATGAAGGTAATATACTTTGTTCTAACTGTACACGGAATTAGTTAGAATGAACATCAAGGTAATATATTCTATTTTAAACTGATTTTGGTTAAAAAAGAAAAAAAAGGATGGAGGCTTCCATTGCTAGGTGTCAGGTATCCTCTTCCCAGACAAATGACTGGTCTGGCCAAAACCCAAAACCGTGCCAACCTGGGGGTCAGCAGGGCGAGACCACCTTTGCAACCCCACCCGCGAGCGTCCCCCAGGTTTGCCCACGCACGATCTGCCCCACACCTCCCCGGCGCCCTGCCCGGGGAACACTCACCTTGCTGGGCTCTGGTGTCCTCTAGCAGCAGGAGCAGGATAAGAACAGGAGGAACAGAGGCACGGAGGAGGAGGCCAAGGAGGAAGAGGAGGGCGTGGAGGAGGGGTTGGGGCCACGAGTGGAGGCGGGAGAGGGGGAGTGTGGCCCGGGCGGGGGCAGCGGGCCGGACTCGGGGTCACTGCGGGCAGCGCCCGGCTCTCAGCACCACCCGGCCTGCAATCGCGGCGGCCAGTAGTCCGCCTGCATAGGGCGGGCAGCCAGAGCCCAGCGCGCCCCGGGCCGAGGCACCCGGCGGGGGGGGGGGGGGGGAGAGAGAGAGAGAGAGAGAGAGAGAGAGAGTGAGGCAGCGCGCCTCGCTGTGTGCAGGGACCCCTCTGCCCTTCACCCCGCCTTCACTGCCTCCTCCTTCGCCCTTCCCTCCACCCCCGCCCCCAGAACCCAGGCGGGAGCACAGGGGAAGGAAGAGAAGGAAGCCGGTGTTCGGCTGCAGACTGGGGAACACGCCTCATGCACCGTGCTCCCGGGTTGAACCCCAGCCCGCCATGCTCACCCGCGGCCTTGACTGGCTGGCAGGCAAGCCAGCCGCCCATCCCTCGCCCGCTGGCCACGCCTCCTCGGCCAGTTTTGACCAATCCACACCCCACTTCGGGCTGTCTCCTTCTGCATCACCCAATCAGCAGGCTCTCTCCTTGGTTGACCCTTAGCTCACCGGTCCATTCCTTGAGTTTCAAGGCCCCTAATCTGCCTCCTCCAATTGCCTTCCGTCTTTGGCAACAAGAGAGCAAGCCAGCAAGCGAGAAGGGGGGGGGGAGAGGGAGAGACAGAGAGAGGGAGAGAGGGCGGGAGACACGGAGGGAGGGAGGGAGGTAGAGAGGGGGAGAGGGAGAGAGGGAGGTAGGAAGAGAGAGGGGAGGTAGAGAGAGAAGAAAGAAAGAAAGAAAAAAAGAAAGAAAGAAGAAAAATGAGAAAAGAAAGAAGGAATGAACAAACAGGAAAGAGAAGAAACGAAAAGAAAAAATAAATTTCCCCAAGGCAGCCTTATCTTCTGGCTGGTTCAACAAGAGTGTTATCAGATAGTAGATCTCACGGGAATTCTCAGGTTCTTGGTATCCTGAACAAGCCCTGCAGAGCTTACTGAAGGTGGGAAAGAGGTACTCTCTGCAGAGTGAGAGTGAGCCAGTGAATACATTCACATCAGCCCTGAGGATAGGGGAAAGGGATCTTCTGACTGTAGAGTTCCTGACTCTGCCTCTGCCTCTTGTAAACAAGACATTAGGATAGCTGTCCTATCAAATACTCATTTGGCCTGGAATGAGTTGTAAGGTGTCCTATTGATTAAAGCTGTCCTATTGAAAGATTCACTTGGCTTGACACCAGATATAAATGAAAATTGAAAATGACCCTTTCCTGATTGCTTCCAGGTATAGTGCTCAGGAACTGCAGGAATGCTTTCACCTCCCTGACTTTGACAGATTCTGCCCAGTTGTTTGGCTGGTTTTTACAGTCCCAGTTCTCTCACCTCAGAACCAGCAGTTCTACTTCTGGATACAATTTGGATACATTCAAAGAAAGCCGGATCATAACATCATAACAGCCAGATGCCCCCTACAGCAAGCCCGGGCTGGCTCCTTCCTACAGATATCTCAAAAAAGAAGGACTGCAAATCAACAGAACAAACTCAAGCTGAGCAAGGTGCCATTGTACATGTTCACCGATAAGGGCCAAGACTTGTAGCAATCACTGTTGACTCCATATACTGGTTGGTAGATGAATTATTTAATGATTTGGCTATAGGCACTAGGAAAGACTAGGGCTTCAAAAAAGGACCACATTGGATACTTAAATGTAAAATACCAAACATTAAAACATGTATCATTTTAATACATTTATTTCATATTAACACATGTAAAATAAAAATACATCCTCAACCTAAACTCTAATTCTCCAGAATGTCCTCCCTGTTTGTCTTTTTCTTTCTTTATTCTTCTTTTCATAGATAAAGAGTGAAGGAATATAAGAAAAGAATGAAATTAACCTTTAGAGGAAGGGGGAAATGTGCTGTCAAATGAATCCCAGCTCAGCAAGTTGCTAAAGAAATGAGAATGCAGGAAAAACCGCAGGGGGCTGGTGCCTTTGCTCCTGGCCATGCAGAGACATCTGGATTTTAAAGGGATGGGATGGTAAGAATCATTTGGCACCATCATTACCATTATATGTCCGTTAAGCATTAATAAAACAAAAGAGACTCATTTAAAATGGCACTTATACTGAAAACCTTTGGTTGGTGGTATGTAATGAATCACTAGTGAGCTTTATCACTAAGCGTGTGTTTTTGGCAGGATAACAGACAGAGGGAATGAGGAGAATTTACTTTTGTGATCCTTCAGTGGGAGGAGAGACAAAAGACTGGAAGTTCTAAATAAATGTTTCAAACTTCAAAGACCTGTTCTCATAAGAGCATTTACTGGGTCCTGTTTACTAGACAAATGTTTATAGCCATGTTTGTTGCTGAAAGTCTGGGTTCTGTTAAAGATACTTTTCTTTCCTTCTGTGAAGAGGAATGCTTTGGATACATTTTATCTTGTAAGCATCCTTCAGTTAGTCATTGCAGTTAAAACTTAACTCTTAGTTATGTTACTCATAGTTTTAACACTTGTAAACTTTTTGACCATATCCCTCATATCAGATTTAAGGCCTAAATGCTAGAAATCCAACTTATTATGAACATATTTAATTTCTACTAGTAGTATTTCTTTTCTGCTTTTATAAGATTAACATTTGTGTATAAATCTTTCAATAATAAATCTATTTGTATCTTCATGTCCTACGCCCATCTCCTTGTCACGTTCCCTCTTGGTTTCCCTCACACAGTCTCTCTCACACCTTGATTTGTCTAGGAACAAGAGAAATTTAGCCAATTGAATTTTTTCTGGATCAGAAGATGACTGCAGTCTAACATTTTGTCTCTGACGGAGGCTTCAAAAGATTTTAATAAAGGCATGTAAAAACTGCATCCTGTAATATCAACACCATGCCTAGAAATTAGAAAATTAATAATATATTAGTTATGGTTAAAATAGAACTAAAATATGAGTAATGAACATACCAGAGTATCTGGATAACATGATTTAGCTATACAATAGCTGCATGTTTTCCCTGCTTTATTCCTGTATCCTTTCCTGTGAGACCTTTGCTGGCAAACAGTTAAGGATTAAATGCACAGAGTTGAAATGCTGTTTGTTCTCTGAGAAACTGAGTTGTTCATGAGATCATGCAAACTTGCCATGGATGACACTCCACATATCTAACTGCTGCTTCAAAGTGCTGTTAAACATCCAGCAAGGCTCCCAAACTCTCTAAGCCTCAGTTTCTTTAGCCATAACAGAAAATGGTTGAATATTATTACAAGTTTAATTATTCTTCCAAATCTTTACTCTCTGCTAATCTCTTTCATCTCAGATAAATTCTAAAGTCATAATTCCTACATTGGTGCCTAATGTTAGAAGAAGAAGAAAGAATAGCTGATGACTGTAGAATTGGTTTCTGGAAATAACTGCCTTTACTGGCCAGAAATGTACCTTAAGGGGAGTTTGGTTTGAAAACTACCCTTCTTTCATAAGCCCTGCTTTTATAAACAGTTCTATAAAGAAAGGGAATAGAGCCTTGAGGTCGGGGAGGGTAACACTATCTAGAAGTAGATGAGGGAGGTCAGATTTAAAGCTGGTTAGCAATGGAGCAGGAAGCTGGAGGCGCAGAGACACGAGAAACAGAATTTCCCAGTAGTACAAATGCAAAATTACCTTTAAAACTGGAGATAGCTTATAGGTAATTTAAAGGTGTTTCCTGTGCATGCTGTTTTACAATCTTTTTTTCTTTGTGTGTGTTTTGTTGTTGTTTGCTTGTGTGTTTGTTTCAGTACTGAGGATTTAACCCACTTTTTTGAGGCAGGTTTTCACTAAGACCCTAAATTGTCAGAGCTGGGCTCAAACTTTTGATCCTTCTGCCTTAGCCTTCCAGAGTGCTGGGATTACAGGCATTTATGACCATACTCATTCACACTGCAATCTTTTTCTTACCTTTCTCCCAAATGTTCCATTAAGCTTACAACAATCACAGCCTTAATTAAGTAAAACTGGGCAGCAGAAAGAGGATATAGTCAAGTTGGTGTTCAGTTTACTGATTCAACATGGAAAAAGAAGCAGCCTCAAGAGGAGAAATCAAAGTAGAAATCAAAGATTGAAAGAAAGTGACAGAGCACTAGAGTCAGAAAAGGTTTTTAAAAAATCTTTATTATTAGTAGTACGGAGGTCCCAAGCAAAGACAGCGGATAGATAACAGCAGGCTACAGAGGCTCCCTGAGATAGTTAACTTAGAATTCAACATAATACACTGTGGAAGTCCCGAACAGAGGGAGATAAATTTTCTTGTCCCAAGAAGAAACTAAGATGAGAAGAACCAATCAAACATACAGTGCTACTATTGGAACAGCTAATGGTTCAGTGCTCCACTGCAGCACCCGAACCTGAGCGGTGATGACTTACTGAGCCTTCTGAAATCCCACCGCTTTGACTCACTGAAAACACAGTCACACTGAGGTCAGGGGTCGGCAAGCTGAACAAGAGAGCTGAGCTAGAAGGGAACCTCCATCAACCTGTAGTGTGTGACGGGAATAGAACCGTTGCACAGAGAAGGGGGCTTCAACAGATGACTTTATGGGACTGAGCAGGTATGGCAGGAACAAGGGGCAGCAGTGACTTCAGTCAGTTGTTCCCTTCCCGAACAGGATTGGTAGAGTGAGCTTGGCCTGGGTCACGTGACCTGGGCTGAGACCCAATAGGTTATCCGAAATCAATTCCCTACAGTGGCAGCACAGGCTAATACAGTGAAGGCCTCAACAGGTTGACTGACCCGGAGGAGAGGCGGCACATACTAATACAGTGAAGGCCTCAGCAGGTTGACTGATATGGAGGGGATAATTTCAGAGAGGAAATTAAAAACTCTATGAAAAGAGGGCAAAACTGCTTGAAAGAAACTGAGGATAGATTATCCAAACTGGAGGACAGTTTTGCAATGTGGGATTATGAGAGTAAAAACTTTTTTAAAATAACAAGGGAACAAGCAGTAACCATACAACTGCTAGAAGACGACAAGAAAATCAATAATTTGAGAATAAAGAATGTGAATGAAGAAGCAGTGATGCAAACAAAGGATCTACAAAGGCTATTCACAGAAATAATTAAGGAAAACTTCCCAAACATAGGAAAAGGAAATGATATGCAGATGTATGAGGCATACAGAACTCCAGCCACCTACAACCAAAACAGAGCCACACCCTGGCATACAATAATCAAGATTCCAGAAATTCAATATAAGAACAGAATATTGAAAGCTCTTAGAGACAGAAACAGACCACCTATAAAGGAAGACCCATGAGAACCACGGAAGACATCTCAACACAAACCATCAAGTCAAGAACACCCTGTAGTGAAATATTCCAAGCTTTGAAAGAAAATAACCTCCGTCCCAGATTGATGTACCCTGAAA